CCAAAAGAGTGATAATTTTCGTGAGTTTTCTTTTTGTTTCGTCGTCCACAAAACAGTAACCCAAAATTATAGACTACTCAGATAGCAAACTGTTTATTATCTTCCTGCATGATGTGTTGAAGTTACCTATTAGTGTCTTTTAAAATTAAACTGCTTGCATAATTTCATAAGGCACCTTTTAAGTTTTATGGGATATCAGGTTATTAGGTTTCTAGGTTTAGGAGGAGGTGAAGATACATTAATCGCTATGTTCCTTTTCTGACTAATATGTGCTAGAATTTTTGGAAAACAATGGACTTTTATCACATGAAGAGAACATTACGCTGGGTCATTTACTATTGGATCACATCTTAGTATTTAAAGGTAGATTTAATTGATGAGAGTCAAGACTGAACCAACACATTACAAACATCTTATTTTTAGCTATTAAATTCTCACACGTGTCTTGCTGAGAACCAAACTCGGGTCTCCGTATATTAGAGCGACATGCCTGCCTTGTCTGGCATGTTTGTGAAATATGGATAAAATTCACAAGGATTTCAATATATTAAAATCGCTGTCTGTAGAAAATGTTTGCTAACATCCTGTGTAAGTGCATATATGTGAGCGCTCAGCAACCTCCATTTGGCAGGGTGTTCCATATCCATCATTGCCCAAGAAAGAAAAACCGAGGCGTGTGGAGCTGTACTTCTCAAGTTGGCGTATTAGAGCTGGTAACTCTATTTCTTAGTAGTTAGTATCACTATGATGTATTGAGCTGTGTTTGTTCTGAACATGAAAGGTTTCCAGTCAGGCATGAACACAAATACTTAGACCTTAACGTTATAATCATATTCTTTGTTTGTGAAATGCAGTTCAATCGCCTAAACATGTGGGTCAGCAATCTGCATGTGAAGTAACTTTGATTCACTATGAGGACATGGGCATACCAAAAGATGTAGCCAGGGTTGCTGTTCGTCATGGCATGTGGGGTGCTGTGAAGAAACTTCAGTCTGGATTCAGAGCGTACCAGCAAATGAGAGACGCAGAAAATACCCTGTCACACAGCGCCATCATGGCTCGAATTACCACCAAGATATCCATCACGGCTTCAAATGGTCCCTTGGACCATGACCTCTCCATTGCCGATAAAATCGGTGACGAGAATGACAGCTCCCATGCAGTTCAACATGGTTTTGACTGGAAGTGGGTGGTGGTTGGTGGTGCGGTGGCTGCGGTTTGTGTGCTCAACACCGGACTTGTAGGCAAGGTCCTCTTGCTTGGAGCAGCGAGAAGGCAGGCGAAGAAGTGATCTAAGGAGCAACCTTCCAGCCTCTACAGAAGGCATTCATCAGACTGTAGCTGCAACCGTACAGGCAAAAAATGTTGAGAAAATAGGTGGGGTTCGACAGAGATAACTACAGTGCGTAATTTTGGATTGTGCACTTATGCAGTAGATGTAGCATGCTTGTTACCATAACAGATTCCGCTGTATCAGGAATCGCTGGCCTAATATATCTGAAGATAAGAGGTTACTGGCTTACTGCATGTTTTCAGCTTTCTATGTTCGAATTTATTCTTAAGAAAGCCCATCCTCTGACACTAAACAACTTTTCAATACTTCTTTCTGATGCTGACATATGAATGGTGGGGACAGATGGATCCACCCCCGCTACTTTTTTGCGTAATGTTAAGCCCGTGCTACCGTGTGCCCTGGCGTGCTCTGATGAGGATTTGAGTTTGAACAGTAGCCGTGGAGGAAACTGTCCGAGGTGCTCAGGTTTTCTGGAGCTTAGCACATGTCAGACGTTTGGGCAGGCTGCGAGAATGTTGTCGCTTATCTCAGAGTCTCACTCCTATACTGAGCAGGCTGGACGCCTGGACGAAAAGTTAGCGAGTCGTGGCTAGCTCTGCTCGGCGTTGTATTTTTTGAACAAATCGAATTGAAGATGTGTTTTTTTCAAACAAACCAAGTTGAAGTTTTAAGTCGTTAGTGCTGTGAAACGATGCCACGAACAGACGCCTGTTCACGAAGTGATCTTATCCATCAAGTACAAGATTAGTGGATAGGATTTGACTGTTAGTTTTACTCCCAAAGGACAATCAGCAGGGGTGCCGGCGCAGGTGAGCTTCATATCTTCTGTTCTTCGTCTTCACTCAGCATGAATTCCAGGAGGACTTGTTCCTCCTCTTCCTGTTTGGTTGGCGAAGTCGTAAAGCTTTTTCAGCTCTTCTTTTGTACTTTAGCTTCTCTCAGCACGAATTCCAGGAGGAGTTGTTCCTCTTATTCCCGTTTGGTTGGCGAAGTCGGTGGAAGCTGGAGGCGGAGCAACCGGAAGAGTGGTACCAAATGGGGCCTAAAAGAAAACATTATGTTGTGTTGGGGTAATAGTGGTTAATGTTTTCACAACTGTACGTTCTCAGTGTTAAAATCCTCAGGTTTATGGAGTAACCCATGAGAAGCTTCAAAAAAACATGAAGTTGCCCTCTAACTCTATATTTTTTTTTCATAGAGTAGAATTTGTGGAGCTATCCTATTTGGCTTACGAAAGTTGAGAGCAAAATTAGAAAATAAGAAGTAGAGCAACTCCAAACTAGCCCTTAGACCTTGGCTTAATATACCTTGAATTATAATGAGAGCAGGACAAGACACCTGCCCTTAGGCCTATTGGCCACACACATTTTATGTTAATGTAACTTAATATAGTAACTAGGTAGAAGTCTCGAGTTTAAATCTTGGCTAGCATCCTGTGAGACCTAAGGAGTCTTCATATGAGAGGAAGTGTTGAAATATAAAGTGATTTTTCCCTAATCCTCTACATATTATGCCAAAAGTGCTAACCGCTTCACTAAGGAACTAAGCCTTTCATTAGCATTTTTTAAATTTTGACAAGGCGCAGCGTGCGTTTCAAATACGAAAAGAAAATTGCACGACCCGGCCTCTAATCTGCTGTATTTTGCTCAATGATATGTTTAGTGACAAAACATAAATAATCATTAGAGCATCGCTAGACCTTAGCTATGATGCTCTTCGAATTATAATGAGAGCAGGATGCCCTTAGGCATGATTGGCTGCACGCATGCCAAAAGTGCTAACCACTTCACTAAGGCATTAAGCCTTTGATTAGCCTTTTTTTTGTTTTGAAAAAGGCAGCTTTCACTAATATATGATCCAATACGTACTGTGAATCAGAAATATTGCCCTTTTAAAAGTTGAAAATTGAACCGGTTCTTTTTTCTGAGATCATAAATAAAACCATTCTGACATAGTAATTACTGTTTTGGAGTAACATTTGATGCTTAACCACAATTCATCCTCTTATTGGGAGTTATATTATGTGTCCGCAGTGTAAGGAATTTTCAGCAGTTAAGGGCACTTGCAGATTGGGCTGTCGCCAATATCATCGTGGTAATAATCAGAACCAGTTGCTTGACTTCTCTCCATACTGCAAAATTACATTATACTAATGTACCATCCTCCTTTTCAGTTTACTTGTCACTACCAAAATACTATGGCAATTTTTTTAAACGTAATAACGTGGCAATTTTTACCGCACGTTTTTTCCCTAAAAGGGTACAATGCTAATAAAGTATGTTTCACTATAAATCAATTCATGAGGAAAAAGGTGCGTGATCAAAATTGCTTACAATATTGCAGTGACTAATCATCAGACAATAGTGTTTCTGATAAAACCCCCACGTAGGATCAGACAAACTTTAGGGAATATTCCCACTCAGTGGCCCAAAACATTTTGTCTGACACGTAGGGAGCGCATACCTTTCTTCTTTTAATTGAAAAGTGAGTTCTAGGAAACTCTCTCTATATATATATACACACACAAGGACTGAACAACCATAAAGGATAGCATAAAGAAATAAGGCCCTTTTGGCGTCATCAACATCTTCGTTTGTGCAATACTGCAACTGCAATGAAGACACTGCTACTCATAAGAGCCCTGTCATCACCTTGCAACTGGCAGTTTTCAATTGGTGTACCAGCGCAAGATCCGTAGATCAGCCTGTTCGTTTCGGCTTAATTGACTTATAAGACATGGTTGAAGGTACTGCTGGCTGGTATGAGAGAAAAACACTGTTCAAGCCGTAGATTATAAGCCAGATACGAGCGAATAAGCCGAAACGAACAGGCTTATATCACAGCTTTACAATGAATGATGTAGGATGTTCAGTGGATTCCTGTCGCAATCCCTGACCTGACCTTCTTCTTAACCGCTTTATATCACAGCTTTACAATGAATGATGTATCACTACAGAACTCTCAGTATGCAGTGACGATAAGATTCCTGAATCCTGAACGCGAGGGGTGTAACAATTTTAATCCAGGTAATCTCTTACTCGGTCAGATACTCAGGACGAGGTCCGAGGAATTCCCCTTTTGTTGCAGGAGAACCAAGTCCTATGAATGAAGCAGCAGCTCGGTAATGATCCGCCGACTACGCTACTCCTAGCATAGAAATAGTATTCCTTTCTAATACTATGTTGTAATTAGTAACAACAAAACAAGAACCACGCCACAGAAGAATGGTGAAAAAAAAAATCTTTGCTAATGTGCTATTCATAAATTTGAAGATTTTGCATAGATGCAGGGTAGAAATAAAGGATCGATTCAGTATCAATCCACACCGCCATTGATTTGTTTAGGCATGAGATGAGAATTGAGATAACATATATCTGCTCCAAGGTCTTGTTCTCCTCGCTGTCTGATGGTGTATCCTAACGTGGCTCGGCCTAAACAACCACAATTCCACAGCATTTTAGCGAGTTAGGGCGGTTGGTCGGCCAATATCAGCCACAAAACACGACCGAAATTTAAATTATCAATCATGTGGTGATCATTGAGGCAGGGACCAGGTCCATTAGCGCCTTATGACGTGTATTTAAGGAGACTGAGCTGAAGGAACTCTCGCATCAGCCTGATAAGCAATAGCCATCTTCTCTGAATTTCAACTCAGTGTCTCAGTCCAAGGGCTGAAAGCCTGAAATACCGTCAGAGAAAAAAAAAGATGGTGAAGCTTGCATTTGGAAGCTTGGGCGACTCCTTCAGCGCCGCGTCCCTCAAGGCCTATGTGGCCGAGTTCATTGCCACGCTCCTCTTCGTGTTCGCCGGCGTCGGGTCCGCCATTGCCTACTGTGAGTTCTTCTACCATCAAGCACCCCTACTTTTTGTTTAGAATGGCGGCAAGAGATTTGCCGGATTTTTATTAGACGAGCAAAAAGGAACAAGAAAAAAGAATTACAACAAACAACGAGAGATCAAACTCACCGCCACCACGGCACACCGGCCGACAACCCAACTGGATGCCCACCTGGACGACAACTTAAATTCTAGAAAAAACACCTCGAAGCCAAAAAAAACACAAAACCAGACTAGCCGAACAGTGACCAACAAATGCTATATGGTCCCGCATAAAATCTTGTTGCCAACTGGTATTGCACTATATCTTCCGTGCAAAGGAGTGTCACTTGACTAGGCTGCAGCGACTTGTTCTGAAATGTTCTTCGATTCCTTTCCTTCCCTAAATTCCACCAAAAATAGATCATAATGCCATCAAACGTCTTTCTCTAATCTTTGTCTATCTTAATTCTGCACTTTCGCCAGTAGTTGTGCAGGGATCCTGTCATTCTGACAGTATCAATCACCGATAGGCTGAACCATCGCTTGATGAAGGACCAAACTTGCCTTGAGAAAGTACAGTCCTTGCAAAGATGTATCGATTTTTCCGGGTCAATACCACAAAGATCATTTGGCCAATTTCTTTTAATCAAATTGTTTGCCGTTAGGATTTTTTTATGCAGCAAAGTCCAAGAAAAAAAACTACATTTGGGTTCCGCCTTTGCTTTCCAAATCGGTTGAAGTTTCAGTTTGCTGAATGTGCCCTGGAATTGAATTGAATGCAGTACGCGCTTTTGGCTCACCGTCCAACGCCAACAGATGATGTCCTCTATATTCTCGATTAGCTGGATTTGGCTCACCTCTTCCCAAAAGGTTACGTATTCTCTTATTTTTTGTGCGGTGCCTAATAAAATGACATGTGATATCCAGCGGTTATCTTCCAAGGCCTTTTGCACCGTGAAATTTTTCCTTTTTAATTTTTTGAACAATATTGGTGCAATTACTTTCGGTGTTCGCCCACCGACCCAAGACGACGTTCAGAACCTGGCCAACTTGCCATCACCTACAAGCACCCCTACTCTCATATCTCATTTCACTTTTCACAGCACTGATCAGGGATGTCAACCCCAAATTCGTCTTGTGCAGCGCAATTGACAAAGGGTGGCGCTCTGGACCCCACCGGCCTGGTGGCCATCGCCATCGCCCATGCGTTCGCGCTCTTCGTGGGTGTCTCCATGGCCGCCAACGTCTCCGGCGGCCACCTGAACCCCGCCGTCACCTTCGGCCTCGCCGTCGGCGGCCACATCACCGTCCTCACCGGCATCTTCTACTGGGTCGCCCAGCTGCTCGGCGCCTCCGTGGCGTGCCTTCTCCTGCAGTACGTCACCCACGGACAGGTTCGATTCGATCAGTCTCTCTTGCCACGTTACAGTAGCTGTGTAGTTTTTTTTCACTGTGCACCTTCTCACTCTGGAGCTTAACGGCATCAGCGAGATCGAGGGCGTGGTGATGGAGATCGTGATCACCTTCGCGCTCGTGTACACCGTGTACGCCACCGCGGCCGACCCGAAGAAGGGGTCCCTCGGCACCATCCATCGCCATCGGCTTCATCGTCGGCGCCAACATCCTGGCCGCGGGACCCTTCAGCGGCGGCTCCATGAACCCGGCCCGCTCCTTCGGCCCCGCCGTCGCGGCCGGCAACTTCGCCGGCAACTGGGTCTACTGGGTCGGGCCCCTCATCGGCGGCGGCCTGGCCGGGCTCGTCTACGGCGACGTTCATCGCCTCCTACCAGCCCGTCGGCCAGCAGGAGTACCCGTGAAGAAAGTCGATCCGGACCCAATGCAATCCGTCGTTTTGATTTCATCGTCGTCGTCTCATCGCTTCGTGCTGTAATTAATTTTCACCAACGGTGCCAAGATGCTGTAAGCGAGAGAACCGTTCGATCTGTATCTGTATAAATGTACTATGTACGGTTCAGCCTTTCCATGTAATGTATAGTATGTTCTGGACGAATTTTCACAGGTGCGTATATACGCCGCGGCAGGAGGCACACACGGGCGTGTGAACTTGGAACCGACATGCGCGAGCGCGGCAGCAACCGCTGCGAACCACCCACAGGCCACACCCAGGCGCGGTTTCACTCTACGGACGCGCCCCTCTCCCTCGCTCGCTATAAAACTCGGGAACAGAAACCGTGCGGAATTAGTGCGCGCGCAACATAACACTGAAACAGCGAAGAGCGAGGAACTTCTGCCATGGCGTCGAACAACCTCCTTGTCCACTTGAAGCACTGCTTCTCGCCGCCGTCGCTCCGTTCGTACCTCGCCGAGTTCATCTCCACCTTCCTCTTCGTGTTCACCGCCGTCGGCTCCGCAATCTCTGCCCGTACGTCAATTTCCCCTGCATTCCATCCATGCACATGCGTCGATATACAATTGTAATTACGGACAGTTTTTCTCATCTCCGTGCGCTGCGTTTGGAATGTGTGTTGCCAGGGATGCTGACGACGCCGGACGTTACCAACAGCGCCTCGCCGCTGGTGGCCACCGCCGTCGCGCAGGCGTTCGGGCTCTTCGCCGCGGTCCTCATCGCCGCCGACGTCTCCGGCGGCCACGTGAACCCCGCCGTCACGTTCGCCTACGCCATCGGCGGCCATATCGGCGTCCCGAGCGCCATCTTCTACTGGGCGTCGCAACTGCTCGGCGCCACCATGGCCTGCCTCTCCCTCAACCTCTTCTCCGCCGGCGAGGCATGTCGTCGTAACCGCTATCGATCACTTCCTTTCTGGCACTAACCGTCGTCGTTTCACATTGTTCGCTCGCTAAAATCGATGAACGTGCGCATGCAGGAGGTGCCGACGACGAGGATCGCGGTGGCGATGACCGGGTTCGGCGGCGCGGTCATGGAGGGCGTGCTCACGTTCCTGCTGGTGTACACGGTGCACGTGGTCGGAGAGCCTCGCCTGAGCGGAGGCGGCGGCAAGCGGGGCAAGCGGGGGTTCGCGGCCACGGCGCTGGGCGCGCTGGCGGTCGGGCTGACGGAGGGCGCGTGCGTGCTGGCCGCGGGCTCGCTGTCAGGCGCGTCCATGAACCCGGCCCGCTCGTTCGGGGCGGCCGTCGTCAGCGGGCACTTCAAGAACCAGGCCGTGTACTGGGCCGGCCCGATGATCGGCGCGGCCGTCGCGGCGCTGGTGTACCAGATCATGGCGTGCCCGAGCGTGGCCGAGTCGCGGCACGGGAACGTCGAGGCGGTCGTCGTCTGACAAGCTTGCAGCGTGCATCTGCATCCTCTCGTTGTGACGTAGATAGATCGAGGGATCTAAGTATGTGTGTTATGTGTGTGATCGTGCATGACATTGTGTTTTCTCATTAGTTTGTCTAGCGAACTTTCAGTTCCATCGTGTTACTGTACTGATGAAATTATGTTGTACGAACAATGATCCCAGGCATATATTTAGCCGTTGATTCCCCGGAGTAGCACTGTGTACCATCCGATGAACTCCGTCGCCAAATAATCCCCATTTTCCTCAAAAAACGATAATCCTCATCCAAAAACATGGCGGCCGGAATATCACCTTCACTACCACATTGGGACGTCCGCGCGGCATCACTCATGAGGCAGGCTGGCCCGTACCGCATGTGCAGCGCACGCCCATCGGCTAGCGGCTAGACTCTCCCGCACGCACGGGAAAGTGTGGCGCTCTCGCCCAAGAAACACAGTTCTTGTTGGCGGTTGCCAATTGGCGATGTTTTCGGACCACCGACGAGTAAATTTGTATTTGCGTGTCTGGCTCGAATGGTGTGCTCCGAGCACACCGGTAGGGGCGCCCTTTTTCTTTTTTATAGGCGAAGAAAAAACGCGGGTTACAGTGGAGGAAAAGAAAAAGAACGAGAAAGAGAAGAAGGCTTCCATGATCGATGGGTCTTTCTTCTCTCTTCATGCGGGTTCCGCCGATCCTGTAGATGTTAATAGAGACAGCTCCACGTCGTGGCCCTGTTTCATCACCGGTGCCATCTTGCAGTGTCCATATGCCGTCATGGCGTTCCATTCATCCCCCGACGGACGCCGTGGTGAATCGACGCTACCGCTGCCGTCGTCGATGAGAGGTTAGGCGTAATAAAGACGCGACGCGCCGACATCGTTTCTTGATATGAATCCTCAGGTATGGCCCGTCATGGCCACGGGTTACATCGAGGCGTGCTAGTCTCTTCTCTGGTGTCAGAGTTTTGACCCGGGCCCACACGTCGGGACCTAGAGTGGTTGGCGGTGGTATGGGTCCCCGTCAGACGAGACGGAAACCGTGGCCTTGGGGTCGGGCGAGACGGAGCCCGCGGCCTTGGGGTCGGGCGGGCCTTGGGGTCAGGCGAAACGGAGCCCGCACCTAAGAGTTTGGGCAAGACGGAGCCCGCGGCCTTAGGGTCGGGCGCGACCTTTTAATATGTCTTGCTCCATCCGAGGAAGTCAGCGAGAGCGTTAACCTCCTTGCTTTGGGTATTCCTAATATCGATACCTGACAGTAGCCCCCCGAGCCTGCGGAGGAGTATAATACTCCTTTGGTAGCTTTTCCGGATGGGAGGACTTTGAGGGCCTTGGTCTTCTTTTTGTAGCCCGCAGCGTGTCCTGGTAAGACTGCGGTTTCCTTTTGTCGCGATCGGTCTTCTTCGGGGCATGTAACCGTAGGATTCGGAGGTCGGAAATATTTTTCTTGATTCTGGTCCCTAAGATCCGATCAGTCCGCCGTCGTACTGCGACTGCACGTTCGGTCTCCTTGCGAGTCCAACTTTCTTCGAACCCCCGCGCGTAGCAAGGGTCCGGTCGAGAGTCGGCTCGTCTTTGTGATCGTCGTCCCTCAAGCGTTTTTTGATAAAACGGAGGGGTTGAGTCGTGCCACGTTTTTCCTCGATGGACGAAAACTATGGTGCTCGGTGAGCTGTTAATGGGCTAGTCCGAGTGGGGCCCTGGCTTCCCGTTCATGAGGGTCTGGCATGGGTCAGCTGGTGACCGACTCCAAACTCTTGGCGGCCAGTCCATATAGTTCTTGGGTCCGTTCGGCCGGTCCCAAGGGCTCGTTGCCGTTCTTCGAGGAAAAACCATGGACTAGGAACCGATCAAGACTAGAACGTGGGCTGGGATACCCGCGACGCTCGTGCGCCCGGGTACTGACCGCTAGTGGGCCCATCCCTTACCTTCCCTTGCTCTAAGGGTGCACCGGAGCGGCTGTGCACCCGTCGATGGGCCAGCCTTTGAACTCCTAGTCCTAAATGTGTCGTAGGAGCGTTCTTAGCTCCGTATCCCTCCTTATCTGCGACGGTTCTTGGCCCATTGAACGGGTGAACCGTCATCCGGCGTATCCTTCGAGGGCGCGGCCAGAGATAGCGTGCGCACGATCTTCGGAGGAAGGTGACGTGACGTGGCGCAGCGGGCGCGTGAATCTAGGCGGACGGTTCGCCTTCTCGCCCTACTCCGTCCTATAAGTAGCGGCCTCCCCTTCATGTTTTTGCACACCAAAACCATAGCCTTACCTTCTCTGTTTCTCTATCGCCGTCGTTCGGATCTACCGTGCTTATAATCCACCGCCTAAGCCCTAGATCTGTAGCTTCCGCTTCTCCGCCGCCGCCTTTGCTTCTCCGTAGCCGCCTCCATCCTTCATGAATTCGTGGTATCGCTCCGATGTTACCCATGCGTGCGTGGAGGGCCTCATCAAGCATGGTCCTCTCCACGGGAGGACTGATGTGGTGGAGTGGCTTGTGCCCGGCCACGAAGATGCGCCGGCGCCGCCAGGCGGCTACGTCGTCTCCTTCGCAACCTTCCACGAGCGTGGACTTGTGGTTTCTCCCCACTAGTTTTTCCGGGGTCTGCTGCACCACTATCAGATCGAGCTGCAACACTTGAACCCCAACAGGATCTAGCACATCGCGGCCTTCATCGCGATGTGGAAGGGGTACCTAGGGATCGAGCCCCACTTCAAGCTGTGGAGATATTTCTTCTCTATCTCCTTGATTAAAAAGGAGAGAGGGCGAAAGACCCTGGTGCCGATGGGATGCGTGAGCATCCACCTCCAGGGGCAGCGGGCGGCCGAGTACATGCCCTGCCAGCTCTCCAGATCCAATAAGGGGTGGCACTTGCATTGGTTCTATCAGAAGAATGACCCTGCCGCTCCCTTGCCGGTCTTCTCCGTGCATCTAATCGAAGAGGTACCGCCGTCATGGTTGTGGGGGCCACCCGTCAAGGAGAAGAAGAGGATGCGCGATCTTCTCAAGGCCATCGCATTCCTGAAGACCCGCGACCTCCATGGGGCTAGCGTCATCGGGGGGTATCATGCGAGGAGGGTGGCGCCGCGATGATGCGCGCGTCCACCCGCTGTATGGGATGACGCCCGACGACACCTTGTTGGGATGACGCTTGCCCAGGGGCTGCTCGACGACAGCGAAGGTCGCGTAGTGCATCAAGGAGGCCACGGGGGAGGCCAACGCCGTGTTCCCAATCCCGAGGCACCCCGTGATGCGGCAGGACGTGGGCTTCATCGAGCTGCCGGTGAGGTTAGTCTTCCAGGACTCTATCGCGCCGCTGCCAGAGCTCGTGGCCATGAGGGCGACAAACCATGGCACGGATGAACGAAGGAAGAAGAAGGACGACAAGGAGAAGAAACGACGGTTGAAGCAGCTAGCGAAGCTGTAGCGAGGGAAGCGACATCAAGGTTCGTTAGAAGAAGAGGAGGAGGAAGAAGAGGAGGAGGAGGATGGCTCTATGTCGCCCATCCCGTGGGATAATTTGGCCGCCGGGGACGAGGAACCACCTTTGCCATAGGCGGGGCCCTTCCTGCGGCATGCCACGGGGCATGAGGGGGATGACGCGCCCCCAGAGCTGATGGAATGAAAACACCTCGCCCCATCTGGACCTTCGACGGTGGCCTCGGAGCCGGTGGAATCAGGCCACCTTGCCTTGTCTAGGCCTTCGACGGTGGCTTCAGAGCCGGCAGAAACGGGTCGCTCCGCTCCATCCGAGCCCTCGGTGGCGCCTCCGGAGTCGGCGGGAGGCGGCTGTTCTAACTCATTTGAACCCTCCGAGCCGAGGGAGGGCTCGAAGCGGCAACGTGCCGATGAGGAGCAGCCGGGTCGGGCAAGCTGGCCTCAAACATCCTCGCATGATGGCGTCAGGGTGAGTCAAAAGTTTTTTCATCCTTTTGTCTTAACAAATTTTTGCCATGAACTGACCACCATATCCCTTGTAGCGTCGAAGGACGTGGGACTCTCCTATGGCTCACTCCGAAAAAGATCCTCCTCCGGCAAACGCGCCAGGAGCCAACTGGCGCCACACCGGTGGAGGACGTGAGTGGCGGCCACGACATCGACCGGGGAGGCGCAGCCGATGGCTAGGTCCACGGGAGTGCAGGCAGAGGAGGGTGCATCATGGGCACCCGTGGAGGGCACGGCGCGGCCAGTCATGTCTTCGATGTCGCAGGCAGAGGAGGCATAGCCGGAGCCGCCGTCTGTGCAGGTGGCCGTGTCCGCAGAGGGGTGAGCGGAAGGGGCGCACCCGAGGCATCCTTCGTGGATGTGGTGATAGGGTAGGCCTCTGTGTCCGAGTCACCCACCCCCTCTATCGCTAGAGGAATCGCTTTGGAGGAGCTACCGCTGCTAGAGAGGTCGGCATCCGCTTGAGGTCGGCGCGGGGACATCCCGGCCTCTGGTCCGGGTTGCTGCCCTCAATGAAGCGACAGAGGAGAAGGAATGGGGGAGCATCCACACGGAGGTTGGGGCGCGGTTTGTACCCTGACCACCATGCTGAGCTCCATGCGTGACATTGCCGCCTGGTTGGCCACTTATGATATGACCATGCTTCTGACCCTCATGTTCTCTTCCTGCACCTCTAAGTCTTGTCTTCTTCACAGATCCTTATGGCCCACAGATGGGAGAGGTCCCAGTTCCTTGCTGAGGAGATGCGGCGGAGTGAGGGGCTGGCCGCATAGCTTGCTGTTGCCCATCAGGAGGTGGCTGAGCTTGCCCCTGCCGCCTAGGAGGTGGCTGACCTTCGAGTTAGAGAGAAGGACGCTCGTGACGATGCCCACGAGGCCGAGGAGAAGCTTGCGGCCCTGATCGAGAGGGTGCACACGAACGCCATGGAGGCCAAACGGCTATGGAAGGAGCGGGATGATTTGCTCTAGGCCATAGAGGAGCTCTGCACGAGGACTGAGCTGGCTCGCTAGGAGCACGCCAACGCTCAGTAGCGGATCGACCACCTTGAGGGTGAGCTTCAGAAGGA